GCCCCGCCCCAGCTCCGCTTCCTTCCTCTGGGGTTCGGGCGTCGGGGTCCCTGTGCTCACAGATGCTGCGTAACCGGCGGTCCTGCCCTTTCCTTCTACACCGCCTGGCCTCGCCTCGCTTGTGCAACATTAGGTATCGAGAGCGCGGAAGAGGCGTGGAGGGAAAGCTCACTGCTCCGAGAGTCCGCGCAGCCGCGCTCTCCACCCTTTGAGAGGCTGGACTTGGCCTCTGCGTCTCCTAAATCGTTTTCGGGGAAATGAAGTCTTGGTCTGAAGCGTCGAAGCGCTGCTCTAGTTTTCTAATAATTAAGTCTTAATTACTAAACATGCCGAAATGCTAGCGTTTAAGCATCCACTGTTCACCCAGCCTTAAAGGTGTTTTATTTTAGGTCAGGATTCGTTTTATTTAAAAAACAATTTTTTTATATGTTTTGAAAAATATGTGTAATTGTCAAGGGTAGCCAGAGAGGGTAGAACTTCATCCATCCTTTAACTTGCAAACCCCCTAGGGTTGCTATTTTTTGTGTTTGTTTTTTTAAATCATTTTATGGGGGGGATCTTACAGCTTGTATAACATTCCGTAACATGGATTGTATCAAGCATATTTGTACATATGTTGCCATCATAATTTTAAAAACATTTTCTACTTGAGCCCTTGGTATAAGCTCCTCTTTTTCCCCCTCCCATCTATGTGAATCCTTGTTTGTTTTTAACTGTATTTTCCTTTTTTTGGTGACATTCTAAGTAGTTTGAAAGCATTAAGTAACTAATAAGATTAAGAAATTTTTAGCTATTTTGACAGCTCTGCTTTCTCTGGTTTATTTTTAATAATTCATGATCACATTATGAATTGGGTGAAAGTTTACAGGGCAAATCGGTTTTACATCAAAACAAACATGCTTTTTTTTTTTCATTTCATTGTTGTAATCCTTACTATAATGTTGTGTGCAATGTCACACTTCCTCCTTAATTCCTGTTTCTTAATCCTCCTGAATTTTGCCCTTGGTGAACGCTGTTCTTTTGATCTCAAGTTGTTGATTAGTATTAAGGGTTGAGTGCCTCTTTAGTTACTCTCTCCCTTAAAGAAGTTTCTCTTTTTAAAAAAAGTATTGTTTTAACTCCACGAGATTCTGTGGGACAATAATCTTAAACTAATACTGAACACGTAGTATTTAAAATAATACTGAACACAAAGCATTTGCAAATTGCCAGGCACTGTTCTAAAGATTTTTCAAATGTAATCGTCACAGAGCCATTTTAAAGATAGGAAAGCCTTTTCATTACAGTGAAGTGAAAAATAGCAAAAGTGAAATGAAAACCCAGCCAATCAAGCAGGGCTGTACTAATGGTGATTAAAACACATTTGTACAACTTTTGTGCAATTTCTTATTTAGATACCTTGGTTCTGAATTAGCGTAGAATTAAGTTAATTAGTTTGATAGCCAGGTAGTGTCCTTTAAGATAAATTCTAAAGTAAGTGTGATCATGCATGATGATGTAATCATCATTATGTGCCAGGAGAGTCACCACACCCACCCAGTTGAGTAATTCTTGTATAAAAGAACTGCTTTAGAAAAAGTGGACTATAGTTTTAAAGGAGCTACAGAGAATAGATCATTTTAAGTGATTGAAAGTCTGTTATTACATCCTCTTGACTATGTTTTCCAAAGTCTGACTTCCACATTAGTTCTTTTAAGGTCCATTTTATAGGAACAACAAGCTCTTTTAAAACAAAATGCTGCCCTCAGATGCTGCCCTCAGAGTTGCACAGTGGCAGGGGCAGTGTCTGACTTTTCACCTGCCCATCACAATGTACAGCAGAAGAGAAGGTAGCTTCCCGAAGTGAGGAAGAACTTTCCAAGAGTCTTGCAAACTTCATTTTACATTTTAGTATCCTCGTCGTTAGCTGCTGTTGACTGGTTTCAATGTGCTCCCATTCAAGACGGAACAAGGCACTGCCTGTACCTGTGGGAGCCATCCTCATGACTGATTGCAGACCAAATTGTTGTAATTCATATGGATTTCATTGGCTGGCTTTAAGAATTTGATGTCCAGGCTTTTCTTCCTATTATGTCTTAGTCCAGAAACTCTGTTCTTGAAGCCTGAATCTTGATGCAGATGGTATGTTTCCAAAATTGACCCATATATATGTTAGAGTTTCTCACACCTTATTTGTATATTTCTACCTAGTCATTTGATGTAAGTTACGACGACTATGGCTATAAGAATAAAATAATAAAATATAAAATAATTCACCATACCACACTTTTTTACTTCCATCATAAACAGATTGTAAGTACAGTTTGTGAGTTTCTTGTGACCTTGTGAATTGGTTACCCAAATGGAGAAGAGTGCTGAAGAGAGGGAGAGTGGTGTCAGAGATGGAGGGGTGCAGTGTTTTGGAGAGAGTAGAAATCTGGTATGTATTTGACTCCTGCCTCGTAGGAATTGGCTTTGTGCTGTTGCATACAAGAAAAACAGGGCTCCAAAATGATTGTGGAAAAGTGGAATTCAAAGATAATAGACTTTTTCCACAAACTTTTTGAAGCCCCCTTATATTTGAAGATTCTTTTCAGAATATCTTTCATTGATGTCTAGTTGTTTCTTCCTGATTGTATTTAGGTTCAACATTTTTGGCAGGAAGTCTACATAGGGGATCTATCGCCCTCAGAGGATATATGGGGGATAGGAGAGAACTGGTAATATAGGAATTTGTGCTTTTGTTGATGATGTTAAGTTTGATTATTTGGTGAAGGTGGTGTCCACCAGATGTCTCTGTTTGCCTGTCTTTTGTTGAGTGACAAATTAAGACTGAATATCCTGTTCTCTATCCTCTCAATGGTTCTAGAGTCCATGGACAATTCTCTCTAGAATCAGATATTAATAGAATAACTGTAAAATGATGATTTTCTGTTTAACATTTCTTCTATAATTATTGGTTGGCACTCTTCTTGAAAAAGAGTTTTCTTTTGTTCTCCTAATTCCTTAAAAAAGTTTTTTTTTATATCAGCATGGAGTCACAAATTCAATTTTATTCAGTGTGTAATATTCATTCCTGTCATTACCTATTTTCTATTCAAATTCATCCAAATTGGCCAGTAGCAGTTCCTTAAATTGGTTCTTAAGTCTTTTGGATATGTCTTTCTCATCTTTTGAGTACTTCCTTAAATACTGGCACAAGATGTTCCAAGCCTGCCTTGAAATGAACCATTTTTCCAGAACATCTGGGGAGTGATGTTTAGAAAGCTAATGTATGCTCTAGGATAAAACTTTTATTAGGTTCTTTAAATAGAAATGACTAGGAAACTTAAAAAAAAAAACTAAATCATGAGTTAATACTGGTACCTCTAATTGACACTATCCGTTAGTATATGGGTCATCTCCTTTTCCCACTTTACATATGTATCTCCCTTTTCCCATTGGGACACCCCTAGTTCCCCAAAACAACATATAAGTATTAAATCATTTCCTGTCAGTCTTGCCATTTGTGGAATTGTTTCAGAATTGTTTCTTAAGTCTGACTGGGAAGTAAATCTGCCGGGTGAGTGTCCTGCTTTCACTGTTGTCTTTGAGAGACAATGTTTCTGTGTATCCGTTTCTTGATTGGCAATCCTCGAGTACAACAACTAAAGTAGGACATTTCCAGATAAATATAACTTAACAAATATAACTTGGTTTTTAAAAAAAACTACCCTATTAGAATAAGAAATACTAATGGTAGTTCTTCAAACAGAAAACCAATATAGCAAACAAAAAAACTGAGATAAAAAATAATTTAAGTCCTACAAGACTGAAAATTTTTTGTTGTTGTTTAGTGCCATCAAGTCAGTTCCAACCCAGAGCAACCCTCTGTTCCACAGAGCAAAACTGTGCCATCCTCCCAATTGTTTGTAATGCTTGAGCTCAGTATTACAGTCACTGTGTTACTCCATCTCGTTGAGGGCCTTCCTCTTTTTCACTGCCTCTCTTCTTTACCACGTTTGATGCCCTTCTCCAGAGTGTGATCTCTCCTGACAACATGTCCAAA